TTCACTGAATTCAAATCACCAGTTACCAGATCTCATTCTAGTAGAGTGCCTTATAGATGGAGAGGTAGGGGAGATTCACATGGGCGACAAATCTGCCTCAACTGTGTGATGTTATCTTCTAAATAAAAGCCAAAATCTTGAAGCAATGTTTCTTGCTTCTTGTTGAATTTATCCTACAAAGAATAATAAGGCAGTTCTGAAGGCAAAGATTATTCGCCTAATAAAGTGGCCAGTGACAGTATATGCTGAACAAGCATTACTGAAATGTTAGCTGATTAATCCCAGCAAGAGGGCAGAATATTATACACACATTTTAGAATGGGTGTGTCAAACTAAATTTCAGACAAATTTCATACTAATCTATTAACCCAGACACCCTAAAAATATCTTTCTTTCTCACCAGCATGACATCCTTTCATATTACTGTCTTTCTTCCCTTACCCCTCTCGCTAAAGCCAGACTGCTTTGTGTTTGAAATTAATTAGAGCTCTGTGTACTATTGAATAAGTCTCAGGTTTGGGCCAAAAACTGATTAAGTATCAAGTGGGCTGCTGAGAGCCAGAGTATAAGTATGTGCATGGGGTTACAGGTTAATCCTTATTGATTTTCCACAATCTGCATATAAGCCCTGCTAAAAAGACGTATAGAAGGGGAGGAGGAGAAAGTGAGAGACAAATGAGAAATAGAAAATGACTCAACACAACATTTGTATAAAACTGTACATAACTCAAAATGCATCCTTCCCAACTCTAAATGAATAATCTGGCACCAAATCAAAGCAAACTGATTTATCATAGTCTGAGGTATTGCTGTAGGGTTTTGGTAAAGAACAAGATCATCAAATCCTCAAATAAAAAATAAATAAATAAAACAACACAATCAAGTAATATCATAATATCACCTATAATATTTTAATGCTTTGATTGGTTTGACATACAAGGGCGTGGTTGGATTTGCTTGGATGCTTGATTAAGCGCCTCCACACCCATCATGAGACGTTTTTCCTTTAAAGTGTTCAATATGAACGATGCGACAGCGCCTTTTCCCACTGAACGTTTTTAAGGCAAAGTGCCTAATGTCAGGTGTGGAGCCGCGGAATCAAGCATCCAACCAAATGCTTGTATAATCAACCAAGCCCTCAAACTTCTCATTTGCATCCCCATATTTCTCTTATAACAGGGTTGTTGGTATTTATTCTCATAGGGGTAGAAATATCACTTGTAAAATATGAACAATAACAAAAAAAACAACACATACATCTTTAGAAAGGTTTTTATTTTTAATTAGCAATCAATAGGACCTAAAGTATACACACCATGGACAGCTATTTGCCATGTGGGAAAAATTGTGTTTAAAAGATAAACCCAGCAAGATTTCTAAATATCAGCAGGATATTTACACATCCCATCTCTGCACTATATCAAACAATTCTTGTCAATTTGTACAATACACTTAGCAGTTTTAATAATCAACTGATGTCTATCAGCTGCTGCAAAATGGTTTGTATATTGTTTATCATTTTTGTCTCCGTTTTCAATTGTTTTATTTGATGCCTTAATATCTATCAAATAAGAATTTACCTTAATTTTAATATTTAGTAGGTGTTTTCAAATAAAAAGCCAACAGTGAATAGTGAATATAAATTGTAACATTTACTGTTCTATTTGTTATACAAGATCCTGTATTTTAAAGCATTAATATTTTATAACAACAATAGATTAACTCAGTAATACGTCAAAGCTCAAAATGTCAGAGACATCTATTACATCAAATTCAAATAATGTTACAGGAGACCAATGTGGAGATATAGGCTAACATTAGTTTTGTCTTCCTTATTCCTATTTCAGACCCATTAAAAGATTTACTGCTAGATAATGATTACCTGCATTTTGTATCAGTAAACTAATAATAAAGCCAGATAAAACCCTTACTTTACTGAATAAACTGTGATCCATCAGATCCTGTAAGTCAAAAAGTATAGTTTACTGATGAAGTCATTTCATCATGGTAAAATAACACAGAAATCGAACAATAACACTTCAAACTTCTCCCGAAGCTCCAACAGTCTGCTTTGAGAAACTGTTAATCACAACTGTCAATCACACCCCATTTTTATAGCATTAAATTACTAGCTAAAAAGATATTGTTTAAAAATGTTTTTAAAAATTAAGCTTTAATTGACCAAAACCATCTTTTGGGACAATTTACTGCAAATGTAATTTTTTTTTTAATTGGGCTCAAGTCTAGTTCATTAACACGGAGGAGGCAGGCTTTATGACTTCTACTGCAGCCAGCCCCCAGGGGGCGATCTAACGGCCAGGAGCAGAACTCAAAAGCAGGTGTGTGGCACACTTGATTGACACCCAATGGTTGAACTAGGTATTGCAGTCCAAATTCAAAATACCTTTTCACTCATTCCCTTCTCCAACAATTCCATGCAAATGCAGGTTGTCAGATTGACAATACAGGAGCAAACATGCCTGACTATTGACCATGGTGTCCTAAATACACGATGACACATTATAGAGGGGATAATTTCTATATTAAAAGTTTTGTCCTGACCATTATTTGCTATTTCTATTTTTAAAATGGTGTTTATTTCTTGAGGCTAAACAACAGCATGAACTACTGATGGTGATTACCTTAGATACGGATTTATTCAGTGTTAAATGCTACCAGTGTGATTTTAAATACTTTTTTACGTGACATTTATTGTCAAACTTAAAGAGTAGACACTACAGATCTTGGAAATAAACTAAACCATTTGAAATTGAATGTTAAAGCTCTGACTCAACTGTGCATTCTTTAAATAATGTTAGGATTTTAATGTAAGAGGTTTGATATAAATAAATGGTGCCATATAAAGAAAATCTGTGTATACCTATGCATATAAATATTGTCACTTTGGAATTATAAGGTTCTATCTGCATTCTGAATGATTTTGAGATATTGAGCTTCAAAGTTTTTGCATTCCATAGCAAACAGTATGTGTGTAACATTTGTTTTTTAAATAAAAAGACATCCCATAATGTAAATAAGTTGTCATTTAATAAGAATATGTCAATAACTCAATTTTGACAAAAATGGCAGATAGAACCTTATAATTCTAAGGAGACGATATATAGAGTGCCATATAAAGAAAATCTGGGTATACCTATGCATCGGTATATATCTAGGTAAATGCATCATCAAATAATACAAGATCTGTGTATGGAAATGGCCATACCATGAGCCTTAGACACCATTGTATCCTCATTCTTGTGTAAATTCCCAATGGACAAAAGGCAGATCAGAACACAAAACAGACTGTTGCGTGACTCACAGGCCACTGTTGCTGTCCTCCAGAGGCTGTGTTTTTGAAAATGGCCGCATACAGTAAGGGAGCCTCTTGACCGAATTGAATATGCTGTTTTTTACTCAGGCAAGGCAGGATGCTTAAATATAATTGGGCAAACTAGCAATGGAAAGGTTATCAAGACCAAAACAAAGACAGAATATCTGACACGGAATGCACATTTTCATAGGAGAATAAATTATTTTAGCATTGTTTTTCAGATAAACAATTTTTCATTATGCATGTTTCCTAAATATCTGCAAACATATTATGGTATTTGTATGCTTTAAAAGTGTCAAAAACAAAAACAAATGTCAACTGAGAAAAATTTGTTCATGCTTTCATGACCTCAATTAAACTATTGCAATAAGTTAGTGGTTGCAGGCCTAATTAACAAACTAAAGTGCTTTTTAGAACTAAGAATTATATTAGTCTGATTCCGCCATCATTGCATTGGCTCCCAATTAAACATTGTATTTGTTTTGTTTTTTATTTATTGACTACCTTCAAACCCCTGAATGGCTTAGCTCCCAGGTATTTAAGTGAGCTCCTGGTGTATTACTGCCCCTTGCATCCTCTTTGCTCAAATAATTCTGGACAATTTACTATTCCTAGAATATCAAAATTGACTGTGGTGTTAGATCATTTTCTTATTTGGCACCTAACCTCGGGAACAGCCTTCCAAGAAAAGTTCAGCATTTTCATTATTATGGTGTTTTTCTGATTTAGTGTCAAAAATGACTCTTGGGAGTATGTTAGTGTATAACGTCAGGTTTAAGAATTTTAAAGGTATGTTTTCAACTTTGTTTTAAAAGATAGAAGGTGCAAAATTGATGTCCAGAGGCAACTGATTCCTCATGCCAACTGAGAAAGCCCCATCCCATTACTTTTTATGCAAGAGTGAAGGACAGTTAACAAATCTAGAGTATGAAAGAGGAGAAGAGAAGATATAGGAGATTTGCATGGGCTCATACCGGCCAGTGGCACCCCTGAAGATATGTGATCAGCACTGCAAATGTTAGTCTACCTGAGGCATAGTAAAAAATCTGTCTCTATCGTTTCCAGCGTTAAAACAAGCACCCCACTCGTTTGTGTCAATAAGAAATGTGTAAAGACTCAGGTGTTACATTTGACTTAAACAACATTTACCTCTTGCTTTGTTATTTAAATTTAATTTAACTTTATCTCTGTTTGCAGCTGACAAATCTTTCCCCATCTTTCACCAATTACTGTTTCCTTTATCATCTCTTTAAATGCTGCCTTATTTTCAGTGTTTTGAACTGAAAGTGGGTCACTCTTGCTCTCCTGCACAGTTCATTTATTGTTGTGCCGTGTTTGATCAGTGTTGTTGCTTTGTAAGGCTCAAAGTGTACTTTATTTATTTTGTTAACGTGTAAATGTAGTCTTGCACACAGCTTTTTAAAGCATACACAACTTGACAGTGTGTATACATGAACACAGGCACTAGATGAGTGCAACACAAAGTCCAGTTCTGGCACCCTTTTTTTCTCTAAAGTTGAGTGATAATGTTGTCTCTATAATCATTACATAAACGTCTATTGTTTGGTTACTTCATTACTTTGTTGCTGTTCTGTCTCTTACAATGTCTTTACCCACTGTGGGACAACAGTCCAGCAGCTACAGCGTTGACACCTTGTGGACAAAGTAAGTAAGTAAGTCTTTTATTTTTTTTATTTAAACCTGCCAGGTTACATAATGTAATACACCTGATTCAAATTAGTATCAGCATATGTATATGCCATAGACTGATATATACACACATATATATTTGAGGCTGTTCTTTAGAATAAATTACAACTGCAGCTTATCAGACCAACAACTCCAATTTGGTGTCTAGAAGATTTCAACTTAAACTAATTTAGGTTTTTAAAAACAAATGTACATCACATTGTCATAAGCATTTATACCAATTACCGTGACATTTCATGCTCAGGTGCATTGCATTTCTCTGGATCATCTTTGAAATGTTTACTTGAGATGATTACTTTTCTGTATACATTTAATTCAAATAGATTTTTATTTAATTTCACAATTTGACATCATTTTTCTTTCAGATCAGTAGGCCTCACCTGGGAACAAACAGTTTAAATTTTAAATAGGAGCTGTGAACTTCAGCTCAAACCCAACCAACTGCAATTCAACACCATTAAATAAACTTGTGTTGCATCTAGTGGCAACTCACTCAGCTTCTTTATTTACTGCAATGTTCATAATAAATTAATCAGCATGTCCTCAAGGAAATGTACTCCAGGTTTAAAGAGTCACCTACAAAGCCCAGAAGCTAGGTAATGTCTGTGCTTCAAGGGTGCAAGGGTCTGTGCTTCAAGGGTGCAGGTCTTGATCTTATGGATGTTCTTTTGGTTGCTCCTTTAAACGTCGTCTCATTTCTTCTGCATGGGCTTTGCTGCGCTCCCTTTTTGTTTGATACTGTGTGGACAAATAGAAAGAAATTATTTAACTCAAAGCTGGTAGAGAAGCTGGAATTAATTAAACCTTTATCAAACCAATTTCACAAATATTTTGATCAGGTAAAATGATTACAAAACTAAAAAGGAGCATCCGAGTAGACAATAAACAGTTTATAAATGTTATTTAATGGCAAATGATTTGTCCCTGATAACATGTTATTAACACTCATCTGTTCAATACATTACTGTTCATGCCTAGATTCAAACAAAACACAAACGACTTGCCTAGGACAGCAGATTTTGAGGTTGATTCAATTTCCAACATGTATATGTATGCTTTCTTATAATAATTCTTATAATAATTAATAGTATTTTATTGTTATAATAATTCTTATAATAATTAATAGTAAAATTAATAAACGTAGAGGGCCTTATCATACACCCGGCACATTAAGGGACAAGAGTTTTTGTCGCGATTTGTTGCTATTTTCAGACCAATGCAACCCCACCACACTCTTTAAATAGTAAATCCATTTGCGCCGCTTTGTGGACTTATGGGTGTGCTGGTCTAGAAAGGAGGTTGTGTGAGGAGTTTGCATGTTTTCTCTGCCTTCGCGTGGGTTTCCTCCGGTTGCTCCGGTTTCCCCCCACAGTCTAAAGATATGTGTTACAGGAGAATTGGGTAGGCTAAATTGTCCGTAGTGTGTGAATGTGTGTGTGGATGTTTCCCAGAGATGGCTTGCGGCTGGAAGGGCACCCGCTGCGTAAAAACTTGCTGGATAAGTTAGCGGTTCATTCCATTGTCGACCCCGGATTAATAAATGGTCTAAGCCAACAAGAAAATGAATGAATGAATGAAGTTTAGATTTGTCTGTCAGGTTTTGGAGATGTATGCATCACCATATGGGGCATAATAATAGCACATGTTTTTTGGCAACTTGCTTTGAAACAAATCTTTGAATTAACAAGCTAAATTAAGTATGTAGGCTATTAAATGTCTTCAGTGGAGCGAGTACAACACCATTTCCTTATCCACAAAAGTCAACAAGTAAAAAAGTTAAGAGAAAGTAAAGAGGCCGAATGTAGGAGGCTCACTCTTAATCCTTACTGCAGATGGTCTGTTTAATTTGCTAGTGAAGTTAGTTTTTCCACTTATAAATTCTACCATGTAAATAGCACAAGCACCATGGCGTGATGTAACTGACTATTAAAGCGATTGGGAGATGAGACTCTAATTAGTTTAATGCACGTTATGCTCAAAACACACCCATAACTCATTAAGAGAATAAGCACAAAACTGTTAGACTATGTGTCGCAGCGCAGAACGTATTTTTTCTGTCCTTGAAATAGCAAAAGTGCATTCGGACACTCCTTTAATGTTGTTGCACCATGCGCACTACCTTAAATTTTATATACCTGCTAGATGAACCCGTCTCATACAGCTGCCATTGCACGGCTCAAAGACACTTTGTACAGTGCAATTTAACACAACTGCCTCTAGGAGTCGCCAATGAAAATAAAACAGACACGCACAAAAAATGTGCGTACGCCAGCCATGAAGTTGGTATGGAGCTGCGCACATTCCCGCGTTCATTTCATCGTTAGTAAATCCAAACGTGAGCCATTCCGAGCGTGAAACCTGGCGTACGCAAAGTTTTTGTGCGTACGCAGCGTTGATACATGAGGCCCCTGATGTCAAAAGGTGATTGTAACTATGATTAGGTACAAAAGCAGCATCCCAGAAAGGTTTAGTCCTTAGGGAGCAAAGACATGCCAAGAATCACCAGCTTGCCAACAAATATACAATTGAAGTCAGAATTATTAGCCCCCCTTTGAATTCAGGGTACCCCCAGGATCCTCCAAATGAAATTCAAGGCTTTTTAAGACCTTTTTAATACCATTTCAAATTAAATTCAATGTCAACTTCGTACCCATTCTGACAGAAGTATGAGGGTAAAAATGTCAAATCTGTATAATGTTTGGACCCTAGAAAATAATTATGTACAAGTGACTACATGAATTAAATTAAACATTTTATTTCAATTATCAGTTATATTTAATACATATGCAACAACGTGGTCGTCCACCCAGTAGCATATATGAAGGTTCAACTGAAGGTCAAACATGACCACAAACCCATTGGCCTTATTCACCTGGTTAATCAGTTCTTTATACAAGTTTGACAGCATAATGGTGTGTATATAAAAACAAAATCAAACATGGAGAGTCTCAAAAACCCTTTTATATGAGGAACTACTTTCTTCCGCGTTGGATTCAAATTAAAAGCTAACAGTTAAACAGCTGAGCAAGCATCTTTTAAACTTTATATCTGTAGTGTCTTTTTGCTGGCTGTATGTGGGCGGAGTAATATACAAATCAGCCAATCAGATTCGAGAACCAGACAGTGTGTGTGTGTGTGTGTATATATTTATATAGCAAGTCCAAAAGCCAAAAGCCAGGGTCTGTCATGGTATGGGTTTGTGTCAGTGGCGTTGGCAAAGGTAACTTACACATCTTTGATGGCACAATTAATGCTGAAAAGTACATCGATTTTGGAGCACAATATGCTGCCTTCTTTTTCAGGGACAATCATGCATATTTGCAATCATGCAATACAATAAAAACACATTCTGCACACATTACAAAGTCCTGGCTGTGGAGGAAGAGGACATAGGTACTTTACTGGCCTCTTACCTTAAGACTTGTTTGCAGGAAGAATGGGACAAAATTACCTGAAACAGTTCTAAAGACACTTGATGTCCCTAAACGCCACTTGGTGTCCCTACACTACAGTACCTAAATGCATTTTAAGTGTCGTGAAAAGGAATGGCAACATTACAAAGTGGCAAATGCTTCAATGTCCCAACATTTTTAAAAATCTTTTGCAAGAACCAAAGTTGGAACATGCGCTTATTTAAAAAAAAAAAAAAATCATGAGGAACAACAATGTTTGTTGTATTGTCTACAATAAAAAGGTTTACTTGCAATACTTTTTTATTTGCGTTTTCCATGCTGTCCCAACTTTTACTGATTTGGGGTTGTGTTTAAACAGCATGAGAGTCAAATAAGTGATAAAAGCTATTTTATAATAAATCCAAAACAAAATGTCAATGCATTTGCATTGCTGATAACAGTGACATGTATCTTCAATTTCTTTTTCTCTGTGTTTAATAAACCAATATGTTATATCCTGGTGTAAATGGGTTATTTTATCCAAAACGACATTAAATGTAAATGGTATTGATTGTGCATTCTCAAATTCACGATCCCTGTTTAAATATGTAAACTCGCAAACAATGCAGCACTCACCTCTTTCCTGAGACATTCACGCATTGCACGGTCCATATCATTACATGTTCCAAAGAACTTGAGGACGTTATGCTATAAGACAGACAGACAGACAAATTAGCTACCTGCATTCCTGTTTTCAATGTAAAAACATAATAAATATTAAGCATCTCTCTCTAATTATTGGCCAGTCTTTATAACAGATTATCAGACAGAAACAACCATATAAATGGTAGAATCCATAAAATGTGTCAAATATTCCAAATAAATTTAATATCAAAGTAATAATTCATTATCAAATTCATTACTAATAATGAACTAGATCTAAAGACTGAACAGAATTAGGTTCAGGAACAGTTAAACAGCAGCCAACTTCTACTGTTTTTGTACCAACTATTGGTGTGAATGGCTACTTTTTTTCGTCAACATAGGAAAGAAATTCATAAATGTTTAGAACCACTAAAGCAGTGGTCACCAAACTTGTTCCTGCAGGGCCGGTGTCCTGCAGATTTTAGCTCCAACCCTAATCAAACACACCTGAACAAGCTAATCAAGGTCTTACTGGGTATACTTGAAACATCCAGGCAGGTGTGTTGAGGCAAGATGGAGCTAAACCCTGCAGGGACACCGGCCTTCCAGGACCAGGATTGGTGACCCCTGCACTAAAGTGTAGGCAAATGGTGACTGAATTTTCATTTTTGGGTAAACTACCCCTCTAAGCATTATGATAATGCTACTTTCATTTGTGGCACTCCTTTTTTATCTAAATCAACTTTGTTTCACAGTTGCCAATGTTACTAAATTAACACTTACTGAACTAAATCAAAGTTTGACTGACACTTTTTTCTGAATGATGTATTTTCCTCTGTAAAGCTGCTTCTAGCTAAATTAACTCCACTTTATAACAGATCTGATTATTGCAATATTGTTTTCATGTTGATAACTTTTTGAAGCAGCTTTTTTACACATTGTAAAATATGTATTTTTTTTACAATACAAAAGAATATGTCTCATCCATATATGACTTTCATAAAATGCAAAATTAATTATTACAGCATCAAAACTTTTCAGTGTCCTCTTTTTTTTTGGTCCAAACAAGTGTTTTTTTTATTTATTAGGCATAATTTCCACATTTATTGGTTGTATATTTACAGTGTGTGTGTGTGTGTCTGTGTCCATTTGGGTGGGTTAAAGGGGTAATGAAGCACTCAGTCAAGTTTACCTTCATACATAGGATTCCACTTTAATGAAAATATATTATACAAACTCGATTAATGTAACCATTTAGCAAAAAACGGCATGTTTTACTATAGATTTTAGACCTAAGGCACTGCCATCTTGGAATGTTGCTGTGTCTGATGTCACAGGGTTGGTTGAGTTCCCTGCGCTGAACAGAAACCCTGGAAGTAAAGGAGACTGTACTTTATCCCAATGCGTGAAGTTGTGAACGTGGAGCTGCTGCAAATACAAGCATCAGATGTGTGTCAAATATAAAAGTATATATATATATATCTATTCTATTTTTCCCCTTTTAATCACCTATCATTTGATTCACTCTCTGTATTAAGCTGTCTGAGTGCCTTTCTGTGATTGTAACAGACTAAACACAAGAGACTGGACAGGCTAATTTAACCCAAAGCATGAAGTTGTGAACGAGCATCACCGAGCTGCTGCAAATACAACAAATACAAGCATCTAAGTGTCTTCAGTTGTGTCTTTTTCTTTTGTTAATACTGTTCTTTTGATGAGCTGAGGTCTACTCACGCTGCTTCAGCGCTGCCTGACAAGGGGATTTACATTCAGACTAATGCAAGGATTAAAATCATTCATGACTTCACACTTTACTAAGTCACATCTGTGTGTGTTATGTCAAGACATATTCCCTTATCAAGTCAATCATCTCGTTCTCTCAACATGTATGAAGAATAAAAACCTGCCATGAGAAACACTGCGCTGATCTTAGTTTAAACATGAGCAGAGGTGAGGGAGGGGCTGTAGCAGTAAAAAAAAATGAAAGTATCCGCCCCCAATACGTCAGCACCAGACCTGCTGAAGCAGCGCAAGAGTGGAGCACAGCACAGCGCATCAAACGAACAATATTAACAAAAGAAAAATACACAACTGAAGACACTTAAATGCTTGTATTTGTTGTATTCACAGCAGCTCTGTGATGCTCGTCCACAACTTCATGCATTGGGTTAAATTAGGTTGTTCAGTGTCTGTGTTCAGTCTGTTACAAACACAGACAGGCAGTCAGGCTGCTTAATACAGAGAGTGTATCAAAGCGCATCAAATGATCATAATTAAAAGGGGATAAAAAGAAAAATAGAATAAATTTATACTTTTATATTAGACACACATCTGATGCTTGTATTTGCAGCAGCTCCACGTTCACAACTTCACACATTGGGAAAAAGTACAGTCTCCTTTACTTCAATTGTTTCTGTTCAGCGCAGGGAACTCAACCAACCCTGTGATGTTAGACACAGCGACATTTTAAGATGGAATCCAATGTACAAAATAAGGTAAACTTGACTGAGTGCTTCATTTCCCTTTTAAACTCTAAAAAGCATGTTAAGTGAGTGTTTGAATACCTCTTTGTGGCACTGTTTGAGAAGTGTTATAAGCTGATTGCACTCATCAGTATGCAGATGGGGCGACAGATCCGGATGCATCCTGAGTTAAGGTTGTATGTCTCAATCTATGACACCACTTGCCTTGTTGGTGACTACCATTATTTACGCCACCATAAAGAAAAGGAAAAAGAAAGAAAAAACGTCTAAAGTCCATTTACCCAAACAGTACAATAAAAGACACAGCAAAATAATATAAATAAACTAGTTTAATCCAAGTCTTTCGGAAGAGACAGAACTAAAATGCTTGTATTCCCAATGAATCTGGATTGTACTTTCATGTTTTTTTGTTTCATATTTTGAGGCATTTAATGTTTGGTTGAAAGGATTCAACAGATGAACAGAACTACTGAAAGTACTTTTTTTATAATTATTCTCATTTGTGTTGGAAAGACGACCAGTTACTTTCATTTTTGGCTAAATATACAATTAATGCAAATTCTTGAACACTTTAGAAAACTTAAAATTAGCGTTGTCCATTATTCTAAACCAGGGGTGGCCACCCGTGTTCTAAACAAACATACATCTGTAAATCAGTTCACTGCCAATGCTGGTTCCTTAAAATGTTCAAATACAGCCATCTTCATTCAAGTCAATAATATTAGGCTGGACTAGCAGAAAGCTGGAAAATCAATTAAGCAATTCGACTTGAGATTAAGGATACTACAGCCGCCCCATCCCAAACCATCACTCATTCTAAAATCCTCTGAAATCTGCAACACTTACCTGCAACAAAGAAAAAACATGTATTAGTTTTAATTTACTCATAACTTTCTCTCTAATTATATATATATATATATATATATATATATATATATATATATATATATATATATATATATATATACACACACACACACACACACACACACACACACACACACACACACACACACACACACACACACACACACACACACTTTCAAACCCTGCATTATAATCTACTTAAATATGTCCTAAATGAATGCACTATTAATGTGAAGTACATATTTTTGAGTGTGTTAGAGAAAAGTAAGCAAAATGTGGGACATACTACACAGAATTGTTTCTTGCCACTACAGACTTTTTTGTTAACATCAGTTTGTCAGTGAGTTTGTAAGTTTTTTTTATTTGTGCTACCTAACAACAGTTTGTCATACCTAATAAATATAAAAATAACATATTCCCCTGACAGTCCATTGGATCTGATGATGTAAAATCTGCTAATTGTTGTCCAATGATGCATTTCATAGTTAAATCAAATTTGTTTTGTTACTGTGCTATCTGCATCTTTCATTTTAAAAATTGGGCAATGTTGTTTCAGATTAAATTAAACACGAATAACACAAAATGTTTTTTAGGTTAGATACTGTCATTCAGAAATCATCCTGTCTACTTTATAAGTTCATCAACATCTTCATCCATTAACAGGAGCTCAAGTATTTATCCACAGTTGGTCTTGTACACATGCTTGGTAGTTTTTATTCATGTTTGTAAAGGCATAGTTTTATTAATAGTTTTCATAAATCCTCAACCACAAGGAGTTTTGCTTAAGTTTAGTAACTGTGTGGACAATTTTAATATCCACCAACAACAGTAAAAATAAAATTAAAAAAACTTTTTTTTTTTGCAATTATTATAATCATTATTTTAAATGAAGCTCATGGGAACCTTAGCTATGAAATAACAATTTATTCTTTTTATTTGACTAATATATTTATTATTTTATTTATTTACAATTTATTATTTTATTTGACTAATGTTAGTGCCAATACCAAAAATGTAGTTCCTTGAAAATTATTTTTATATGTTTAAAATAAAACTTAATTCTGATGAATAAAAAATAAGGTGCAATGTGAACATGCTATTCAACATTTTGACCACCAGATGGACACATATGCCCGTTTTACAGTTTTGTAACTGATCTAAATATGATAAATGAATACTTGTATGAAACTCTGCTTAAAATTAAAATTAAACCCATTTTATCCATTTTAAAATGGCAATTTTTTATTGAGTATAATCGTTAAAATAAAGGTAAAGTTTTAATCATAATCTATTTTATTATAAAGTTGGAGCATTGCAACACGTAAAGGAACAATCGATATAAATATAATCTATTCACTCTGTTTAAATCTCTTTAAGAACTAAAAGTAGAATCGCTTTTTAAAAACTTCAGGTTCATAAACTACACAGCTACAACATTAAACATTAAAATTATTGACTGGAAACTGCAGACATTATTTTTAATAAACGTTACAAGACAACTACTTTAAGTGAAGTGGAGTGTCACATATGTGTACACTGTCATCAATGCATCAGTGTTGAGGTTACAATTTCTACCTAACTTACGTAGCTGCTGCTTTTTGTGGTAACTGTAAATAAGTAGCTATCTTTTTAGTATTATCATTTATTTATTATTGAAATTCAAACGCTTCGCCATCATTACTACATCGATATTGCAATGACATCTTATCAATAAACTCACCAATAGCCTTATAGGCGGTTCAGTTGTGTAAAACTCCTGAAGGGCATCACAGTTCACGTGTTTAAAGTCCACAGTGGCTAATACACACTAACAACAAATCAGAAATGTATGTTATGTTAGTCAGCTCCTTTGCTTTATATTTCATGTTCTCACACAGACGTCAGGTTTTTGATGCGATGCAATGCAATAACCCTAAAGCCGCAATTCACCTAGGCATCAAATCACATTTAGCATGGTGCCTTCCTATGTTGCGTAGTATGTCTCTACTCCGGAAAAAGTATTGTGTTGTACTGCAGCGTGAACCAATCAACCGCTTCGTTCTCATCAAACCGGAGTAAGGACTTTTATGAAAATACTGACGGACAAAATCTCTCAACTTTTTAAAATAATGACCCAATGCAAACAGAAGTGTCTGTCTACCGTTAAAAAAATGACGTATAAAAATATATAATATATTTTCATTTTATCGTTTAACTAACAAATATTGGTACAATTATCAAACAGATAACGTAAACATTAAGAAATAATAAGGTAATTGGAATAAACGTACAAAAATATTTAAATAAATTATATTTTTACTTCTAGTTAATTTCAAATCAGACGTGTTTTAAAGATACAAGAGTTTAGGATTGTCACAGAATGGGAAATGTAGTCACACATAACAGGCACCAAAGTGGTGTTTTCTTAGCTTCAAAACCTGTTCTTTCAGAACATAACGCTAATTGTGCACGAACTAAAGTGTTTTGTCAATAATCCCTTTTAACTCTTAAATACCATTATTTACTATTTATTCAACTAACGCACTTCAGGACAATAGATATACACAGGACTATCGTGCAACACGACTGACTTTTATTTTATTTTTAACAGAAGCTTCCGGGTTAACTCTTGATTTCTGGCGGTTTGTTTTGAATGTCTACAACATTTAGCGAATATTTTTGTACACGATGGACGAACAGGCCAGATCTGTTTTAAATCGGGTAATTCGCAGAATACCGAACAAAAATATAAAAAATCTTCTTAGTAAATGGAATTGTTTGTCAGCAGACCAGCTGCAAGCTTTGGATTACACGAAACCTAAACGGATGATAGTTGAACATATAATCGACTGCTGCGAGGTAACGAATCAATTTTAATTATAGTTTAGAATTTATATTTTAACCGTTTGTATAGGACAAAATTCATAAAATGGTATCCTAGTCTTAACGTTATTGTTTAACTTACATTATTGTCAGAAATTGTATGAAAGGTAAATGTTATCAAGTAAACAATCAAGTAAATATATATATATATATATATATATATATATATATATATATATATATATATAGATATATTTACTTGATTGATTTTATATATATATATATATATATATATATATATATATATATATATGGTTGTAAAAGAAGTGCTGTACAAAAGGGCACTTTTAGAGGATATATTTTTGCCGATTCTATGGTTGTTAATATCTCTTTGAGACCCTAGCTAGTTCAGTTCAGTTTGTACCAATTCTGGGTTTTGGGGACCATGGTTATTCCAACTTCTTCATAATATCATGGCAATAAAGAGTGATTAAATTCAAGCTGCCTTTGTGTAACCTAAAATCCAAGATTGATGCAAACTAAACTGAAACTTAACTGGCTAGCCAGATAATCCAGCTTCATGGTACAAATTCCCAGTCACAAGTAAATTATCGAATTTTAATTTGTATGTAAACCTTCTCTTTAAGCTCTACCTGCATATATATATATATATATATATATATATATATATATATATATATATATATATATATATATATATATATATATGCTTCTTTCTGCAAATGGACACAAAATGAAGATATATTTTGTAGAATATTGGAAGCCATCGAGTCTGTGTTTTTTATTGCCTTTTGTTCTTATTCTTAAAAATATCTACTTTAGTGTTTGGCAGAAAAATGAAACCCAAAATGTTTTGAACAGTTTATAGATTAGTTAATTGTTCATACATTTTTTTTATCCTGGGTGATTGCTCCCTTTATATACATAATTTTAATGTGTAAATATCTTTTTTTCTTCTTCTTTTTATGTGTTGTAGAGCAGCAACCTTAACCTGAAACACATCACAAATTTGGAAATGATCTGTAAGTCAAGGGCCTAGCTTTCAATTATTTATTGATTTAAACTTTTTTTGAATTTCAAAGTATATTATTAATTGTCTGAATATTTTTTCTCCCATTAGATCATTTAGACAACCCTGATCAAGGCACTTGGTATGCTTGTCAGCTTACTGATGCACAGGGTAAGGGAACTTTCTTTTATTTCATTGGTTAATTAAAGGGATCATGAAATGAGAAATCAATTGTCCTTGATGGTGTACTGTACTCATAGAATAAGATTAGTGTTTTGATGAGTAGTTAATATGTTGTACCTTATAATGATCAGTTCTATATCATTGAAAGTTTGTCTGTGTAGTAGGAGTCAAGTACAGAGAAATTCATGCAATAAAATATAAAAAAATTATAGGGACGCCTCGAAGGATAACAAGGCATGTGCAGTGTCTTTGCATTGCCTTTTTATGATCCTAACACCATAACTACACCACAGAAGAATATTTGATGTTGTAGATCACATAAAACTGTTCATTTGTTTACTTGCTTTTACTGAAGTTAAACAAGACAGCTGATCTAGTCATTTCTTAGAGAAAAGATAACATTTTTATTCTTAAAAAAAAAGAATAAAAGGTTACGCATTGCTAACCATGTTGGATGTGACTAATGTTTGTGGAACACACAAATGTGAGAAGCAATATTAAGAGTAATTTTGTTTGGGAAAACTCTTTATTAGATTATAAATTGCCTTTACATTACTTTTTAATGCAGTTCATGACTCCTCTAATTGATAAAGCAGTGTATAGTTAAATAATAATCTAAATGTTGTTTTATTTTCTCCACAGATGATGCAGTTTGTGTAGAGCTGACCCAGTTTAAAGAACAATTTAAAGCACACTTGCATGGGGTCATTCGGCATGTAATTATACTTTACAAACTTAATTTGTCATTAATTCCAGCTCAACTATTTTCATTTTAATTATTCAACGTGTTGATTAACATCTTTTTATTTTGTGTTTTAAGATTTCCATTAAAATGAAGAAACACGAGGACGATGCTATATGGATTCGGATTGCCTGGGGAGACAATTTTAGCAAACCCAACCACCTTAAACCAACATATGTTGTTCACCACCTGCACACTTCCTACGTGTTTATTTCAAACCTCATGGCCAAACACAAAATCTTCTTATGTCAGGTGATCTTTTTTTCATCTTTAGAAGACTTATTTGGAATTAGATACTTCTTTTAAATTATTTTGGTTCAAATTAAATAATCAGAGGCTATTTTTCCACACACACACACACACACACACACACAAAGTCAAATCTATCCTCATATCCATTTATTTTCATTCACATTTCCAGGCACTAGTAGTAGCCACAAGACATGGCTCTATAAAAGATGGCCATCTGAGTACCAGGAGCCTCACTGCAATGAGGGACTTGCTTCTGAGACGTTATCAACAGGTAACCTATCAATCAGAGTTCTCCCAACTGTCAGCTTATGGGTCAAATGCAGTCATTAAATGGAATTTACAGTTGGATGATTATATTAAATTGACTTTTTCACTTGATAAAATTGTTGAATTACAAAAAAAATTCTATCTAAATAATAAATTATGCATGTTTTGCTTACGTCTGTGTAAATGAGCAGGAAAGTTTTATCTACTAGACATAAGCATGCTACATCATCATTTGCAATATGCACTTGTTTTGCCGATTTAAAAATGCAACTGGTTTTAAATCATTAAAATACTAGAAGAACTTGGGAGGTTTTTTAATACTTGCACACAGATTCTAAATTAGTTTTCAAAATACTCATCGTCAAGGGAAAGTAAAGTGTATAAGTATATTGGGTCAGAGACTAAAATATAGATATAGTCTAAATATTATGCATGGGCTGCTATAAGATTCTGACGGTTTAATAATAAATAATAATAATAATTATTATTAATAATTAATAATTATATAATAATTATAATTAAATAATAATTTCCTTGGGAAAAAATATTAGTTTCATGATTACTTGCCTAAAAGAAGTTATTTTTAAATGTCTGGGAAACACAGTTAAAAAGAACAGTTTTTCTTTTTTTATACAATATACTTTATTTTTTAAGAAACATTTTAAATATTTTGGAACAGTAACCAAATAAGCTAAATAATCTTTCCTTTCATTGAATATAAAGTAAGGCACTGCACTATTCAGGTTACATGTTGTTTCATAAGTGATTTGTTTTTCAAAATGTTTTCTGAATCATGTTTTGACCAGTAGCTTTTGATGTGGAGGGTATGTTTATAGATACTGGTACCCTAAAAAATAAACAGAATAGTCATAAAAAGAACTTAAATATACTATAGGAATGGTATAACAGAAAATTTTAGAAGTTTTAAAACCTTGACTTATCCAACCCGCGGTAAACCTTGAAAGTGGCTATCGTCCCACGTCTACTAAATATGTACATGTATAGAAATGCATTAACTGCACTTGACTGATTTAGGTTTGAGTCTGAATATATGCAGTAGTTTTGTATTTGATGGTTTATTTTTACAGCTGAATAATACAGATAGACCTAATGGAAAACATGTTTTGTTTTGTTATTTATATCCATCTGTTGCTTGTCATTTATTTAAAGGGATTAATTTCTTTACTCTTCACTTGTCTCTTGTTTTTGTTTTGATATCAAAATTGAAAACAAGAATTTTTAAATTTCACAAGTATTTATAAGATTAGTTTAATTACAAGAATAAACATTTCCTGATAATTTACTCACCATTCATGATGTTTGTTTATTTATTTATTTTCTCAGTTTCTCCATATAGTGGAATTGCTGATGTGAGATTGATCATTATTTGCAAATATTTGTTTGTTTCTTAGGTTTTTCCAAGTGCTCAGTCAAAGATACAACAGGAAAGAGACAGTCCTCCGTTGCGTATGTACACGTTTTTATGTTTGTCTCTTTAAGACATTGATAATGAAAGTGAATAATGTGTCAATACATATTAATCCTATAGACTATTTTAATTGATCCTTATTAGATTTATTATATATGAATTATACTCATTCAAAAAGAGATCTTCTTAAAACTTCTCTTCCATTATCTCCTGAATGTGTGTACCACTGCTTATACTTTTTATACTATAAAATAGGGCATAAGTATGCATATTGGG